TAAAGTCTTCTCGGCTCCGGCTTCATCATCTAGGCTCTTGGTGTCTCTGGAAGCGTCTCCTCCTCTAGGTGCATCAACGGAAACTGGCTTGCGCAGATGTGTCAGTAAAAGGCACTATCAAGGAAAACAAGAGAACTACCTGTATTAGGTATCACCCTATGTTCTAAGGGATGCTACATTTTTTAAAATTAATTAATTAATTAATTTTTGATATAGTGTTCCATGATTCATTGTTTGCGTATAACACCCAGTGCTCCACGCAGAACGTGCCCTCTTTAATACCCATCACCAGGCTAACCCATCCCCCCACCCCCTCCCCTCTAGAACCCTCAGTTTGTTTCTCAGAGTCCATCGTCTCTCATGGTTCGTCTCCAAGGGATGCTACATTTTATACAGGTGAGAAAAGAAAGCAGGTATGATAGGAAATTATTTGTTAGTTACTATTTTCCAATCTTTTAAATAGAAATGGCTGTAAGATTTACTGGGGAGAGTGTAGTAGACTTTGTACCCTTGAAGACTGTATTAAGTGATTGGTGTTATGACTCAAAATTTCTTTGACTAAGAAAGTGAAGAGAGATATTGAAGGGGATAGAACCTGAAATTGGAGGCTGGAGGCTCTTGGAGGATGGGTTGGAGGAGAGAATTTTAGAGGACGCATGTTAGCTTTGGAACTGGGGAATGATGTGTGTGTGAGTAGTGACTTTCCCTGTCCGACTCAAGGCCGACTCATTGAGAATAGATGCAGCCCAGGTCTGTCAGTAGAATGAAAACATCACTTCGTAAATTCCAAGTAGCTTTGTTTATATTTTACAACAGGAAGAAAGGGAGATTCAGGATGATTGGCATCTTACCTTACTGTGTGAGCAGAGGAAAAGAGTAACGTTATGGTAGAGAAACCTGGCAGAGAGCGCCTCACCAGGCGAGGAAGATCAATATCATCACTGGTAAGCTGTATCGACAGCAAGTTCCCTGGACATGATGTGATGAGAATAGCACTTTACTTCTGTGGTCTTGCTCCCCAAATCCCAAGACCCAAATCTAACCTAAGGAAAATAGAAGGCACATCTCAATAGAGGGACATTCAACAAAATACCTGACTGGCAGTCCTCAAAGCTGTCCAGGTCATCAAAACCAAGGAAAAGCCTGAGAAACTGTCACAGCCAGAAGAGCCCTAGGGACGTGGTGACTAAATGTAATGTGTCCTGGATGAGACCTTGGAGCAGAAGAAGCATATTCGGTAAAAACTAAGGAAATTCGGGGGACACCTGACACCTCAATGGTTAAGCATCTGTCTTCCGTTCAGGTCATGATCCCAGGGTCTTGGGATCGAGCCCCAGGTGTCAGGCTCCCTGCTGGGCGGGGGGCCTGCTTGTGCCTCTCCCTCTGCCACACCCCCTGTGTGTGCTCTCTTGCTCTCTCTCTCTCAAATAAGTAAATAAAAATCTTAAAAAAACTAAGGAAATTCAAATAAAGTATGAATTTTAGTTAATGCATCAATATTGACTCATTAATTATGACAAGTGTGCTATACTAATGTGAGATATTAACAGTACAGGAACCCTCGGTACTATCTTTGCGGTGCGAGCCAAGCTACTCATGCTGTTTGACAAAGTCCAAGTATGGGGGACAATCCTGAAAATCAGGAGACTCCTCCACAGCTGACTCCTGCTACTTCCTTTCATTTTATTTGTGGCAATCTTTATAATCATGGGACTTTTTCTGGGGTTTCATGATAAAATGATTTATAAATTTAGTTATGCCTATGTAAGCAATCACAATGAAACTGATTCCAAAAAAGCTGACGATGGGCCAAGAAGTAAAAATACCCAATGTCCTCCAATCCGTAATTCATCTAACATGAGCAACACGGGGTTCTTTAATAAGTTTCGCTTAAGGGTGCTGTTGGATCTAGGCCCAGTAAAAGTCCCTATTGATGAGATTCCTCGGGCACCTCTGAAACATCAGAGTTCTAGGAAAGAGAAATCTCATGTCCTTCGCACAGTACAGGGACCTCCCTGTATTACTTTGATAGGATAGGGTGCACCCATTGTACGTTGCCTTGGGAGCAAGAATAAACTTTAGATAATCTTTAAGCAAGAGTAAAAATATAACTTTTTCCACATTAGCACACAATAGCAGATAGGTTACGCTTCGTCTCGCACGGTCACGCTCTGTCTAGTACCTTTGTTTTTAAATTCAAAATGATTTAAGATGATTTGTAATAAGATGTCAAAAATAAAATCACATGTTATGAAAGAATGGAAAAAACAAGGAAATATTCTAATGTATAAATAAAGTTCCTCCGGGGCTGTCGGGGGGAGATGCTCGCAGCCTGATCCTGTGTCCATGTCTCCTCCCTCGCCGACGCCGTCCTTTCCCTCAAGGACCCTTTCCCTGCTGGAGCCGGACTCCGGCATCTTTGCACATTTTCTGTAAATCTAAAACCACCCTAAAATAAAAATGCTTATGAAAAAAATGCCTTAGAGAACATTGTTAGTATATGGTGAAAATGAGATCCAGACCCATGGTCTTTGCATCACATGAAGGCACCATATTGGTTTTCCAGGCTGCCACCACAAAATCCCACAAATCTGGGGGCTTAAACAACAGGGATGTATTTTCTCACAGTTCCAGAGGCTAGGAGTCCAATGTCAAGGTGTGGGCAGGTGTGGTTTCTCCGGGGGCTTTTCCCTTTGGCTGGTGGTCCCTGTGTCCTCACGTGGCCTTTCCTCAGGACACGCATCCCTGGTGTCCTCTGTGCCCCAAGTTTGTCTTCCTAGGACATCAGTCAGATTGACTTAGGGCCCGCCCAAACAGCCTCATTTTATCTCAGTCACCTTGTTCAAGGTCCTGTCTCAAATAGAGTCACATCCTGAGGTACTGGGGGTTAGGGCTTCAAAATAGGAATTTGGGGGGTGGGACACAATTCAGCCCATACACGTACTGTTCATCTGGGGGGTGAAACCACGTGCATTTAAGAACTATCTTAAGTATGTTTCTATTTTACATTTAGGACATTTACTCTGGGCAGAAGTACTGTGTGAAAATCTGGGCTGGAGCTGCAAGTCCCTGCTTTTCATGAGGGTTTGTCCCAAATCTACAGACCCTGCTATTTTCTCCCTTCCTTCTGCTGGCCTGTCCTCTCTCGCTTTGTATTTTATTCTCATCCAGCCTCTCTCTTCACCTGTCCCTAACGTACCTGAGGATGTGCTTGTCTCCTGACAGAGCCCTCTTCTTTTGGAGACCTGTGTTACAAAAAAATTTTTTTAACTCCCTGGAAAAGTCAACATGTACCAGCACTTTCAAAGAACTGTCTAGAAAGTTCCGTGGTATTTTTATGATAAAGTAAACCTTTTCCCTCCCTCTTCTAGGTCTGAATGCCAACCCCAAGATTCACAATCTCTCCTCTTTAGAGCTGTCTAGAGGTAATAGATGGATGGATGATTTTTTCTGCTCTAACTCTTTGAAAATTATAGCTACTTGAGAATGTTTTATAGGAAATATAAAAAGGTCAAAAGATTTAACATTGCCAATAATAACTTGGACTGAGGAATGTTTTGATTAAGCTTTTAAATTACATTATATAAATAAATTATATGGGTTCGAATGAGCTGTAAGATCTCCCTAAACATCTAAAGAATTTTCAAAGAGAGAGGATATCTGTAATTAAAGTAGTAAATCTTTAAATAAGCAATAAATTATGCAGAAGGTCTGGAAGCACTTACTGGAAATAAAGACAAGGCAGAGAGGGTGTAAATAGGTAAATGTATATATGTATAATTATATACATCTACATCTATATGTGCATTTTTGGTTTGGATTGGTGTGCTTCTGAAACATCGACTATTAAATATTCTCTTTTTTTTAAAGATTTTATTTATTTATTTGACAGGGAGAGACACGGCGAGAGAGGGAACACAAGCAGGGGGAGTGAGAGAGGGAGAAGCAGACTCCCCGCGGAGCAGGGAGCCCGATGCGGGGCTCGATCCCAGGACCCTGGGATCATGACCTGAGCCGAAGGCAGACGCTTAACCACTGAGCCACCCAGGTGCCCCACTATTGAATATTCTTAATACTGCAAGTATGTTACACGAGGTGACAAAATAGATTAATATGTTACAATCACAGTGTTCTAAGGAGGCTTAGCAATCATTTAAGTTCTTACTCTTAATTTAATAATAAGAAAATTGAAAGCTAGAGACATCGTGTACATTTCTCAGTACTAACAAACATATCGGCAAACCTGTGTTTCATCCCATGAATGCAATAGTCCAGTTGTGGTCGAAAACTGACCTCTGGGCTCCGGAGCCGAACTACAACACGGAGACAGAACTTGGAGATAAAGAGGAACAGGAAGGATGGTTTTATGACTTTGCCAGCAAAGGAGGCTGTGGGGTAAGAGGCTGAGGGCTTTATAGGAAAATGCAGGACCTGGGTGGTTTCGAGAGTGCTGCCAGCCACGGTCCTCACGTCCTCGAGGTGGTCTCGTGACCGTCACTGGTGCCACTGACCATGAGTCTTGCTACTAAGTATGGAGACCGAGTTCCTAGAACAAAGGATTCTACAGAAAAACAGGTGAAGCAGAGGGGGAGGCGTCAAGAAGGAGGAAGAGAAAAATGTGTTCAAAGTCAAGGCTTGCTGGAGCCTTAGCGTGTCCATCTTAACTTCCATCCATCTTTACATCTCTATAGTGGTTTCCAAGTGAAAGGAAGAGAGACGCAAAGAAAGCCTAGTTGAAAATATGACTAACTTTACAGGGGAAAGAAGTCAATAGAAGTATTCCAGTCCTGCCTACCCCTTCACACAAATACACAGACACGCCCTGATTCCATGATGTTGATTTGCTTGCTGATATTTTTTTAAAGATTTTATTTATTTATTTATTTATTTGCTTATTTATTTATTTATTTTAGAGAGAGAGAGCACAAGCAGGGGAAGGAGCAGAGGTAGGGGGACAAGCAGACTCGTGCTGAGCAGGGAGCCCAACGCCAGCTAGCTCCCGAGACCCTGAGATCATGACCTCAGCCGAAATCAAGTCAGACGCTTGACTGAGCAGCCCAGGCGCCGCTGCTCGCCGATATTAACTCACTGTGGGAGACTCCTGATGGCTGCATATTCCTCAACACTCTCCCTGTGGCGAGGGAGGGGCTATTGCTCCTTCCTCGGAGCCGGGGCAGGCCTCCGATGGTCTGGACTGAGAGACTTTGGTAGAAACGATGTCACCCTAGTTTCATGGCTCTTTCTTACGAGGGCTGGCTGCTTCTACCCTGATCCTGAATCCTGAACCAGCCTGTAAGACGTGCAGTTGCCCTACTGAAGAGACCATCCAGGGGGACCCTGAGGCCCAGGAATGGGAGAGCGACCCAGCTGAGCTCAGCCCTACAGACACGTGAGTGCAAACCCATGGTGGCCCCAGGCAGTGCCTGTCTGAACTCTTGGCCCACAAAACCCCGAGACAGAGTGACATGACTGCCGTCTAAAGGCACCAAGTTCTGGGAGGGTTTGTCATGCGATCAGAGAGAACTAAAATAGTACACTTTGATTTAAATTTAGGTACAGCTACAACATTAATTTCAGGAAATGATTGTATTTATCATAAATATTCAATATAATAACTTAGCTAAGTATATTAAGATATGTTGAAATATACTTAAGAAATCTCATGCCTTGAGGATTTGATTGGAGGCCATCGTGTACCTATTAATGAGTACAGACCTGGGTCATTCTTGTCTTTAAAGTCCTGGAAATGACTGTACTCCAGATCCTGCTGAAATGGTCCAGAGTGCAGCGCCACAAGCCTCCCCTGGGAGCTTGCTGGAAATGCAGGGTTTCTGGACCTGCCCCAGACCCCGGCATCAGAAGCAGCATGTTAATAGGCTCCCAGCTCCCTGGGTGATTTGCATGTAACTCTGTAACACTAAACACTGAGAAGCACTGGTCTAAATAGTTTTATTAGAAGGCATGTGAGTTTATGTAAATAAATGTGGGAGGAACATTCTTAATTGTACTGCAGAGCACCCCTTTCTCTGGAATGTTTTGATGGTGGTTAAATCTAAAGGGAAGATTGTCCTCATTCAACACCAACGGTTGCTAGCTCTCAGTCAGTCTTCTCCTCTAACATCTCATTGCTGGTATAGACACAACTTCTTCAAACCACAAATATTCCAGAATAGGAAGGTATACTTTCAAACTGGGGCAGGTGTCATATATATTTAAGCTATAGCTTAATTATAGGAATAAAATCTACAAAACCTTTTATCTGTTCTTTGAACATAAATATTTTACGGGATAGGCTAGTGAAGAAATAGATCCAGCAGAAATGGTATTACAAATGGAATAATTAAACCCATTCTGATTTTATGGTGCTGGGAAGAAATGCAGCAAATCTGGAAGGCATCTAGAGAAGAGTAACAGTAACTGTTTATTAATGCAATAAGGTGACTTCCTCTGGCAAAACTGGTCGTCCAGCTGAACACCCCACAGGAAAGGACCTGGTCAGGTTGCCTGGGTCGTTCCTTTGATATCGATGCACTGTTGCCACCCACTGGTCAGGAGTGAATTTTCCTCTGTCGGCCTTGCTGTTTTGGTTTTTGGTTTTGGTTTTTTTAAGTGGGTTCTGCACTGGGCGGGAGCCCAATGGTGGGATTTGAACCCAATGCTGAGATCAAGACCTGAGCCAAGATCAACGGTCGGCATTCCCCCTGGCCTTGCTGTTTCAATATTCACTGGTTTAAATGTCTGTCCTTCCGTAACTCAGGAAATATAAACGAAGGCCTGTTCTAGGACAGCACTGGTAATACAGTAGTCAGCACCGTCCTTGCCTCAGAGTTCCTAGTTTGGTTCAGCGAAATGTCAGGGCCAGGCCATGACATCGAAGGAGGATGGAGTGACTCAGGATGAGAAGGAGCCCATGGGAGAGACATCGAATCCAGTCTTGGAGATCAGGGAAGGATTTTCAAAAAGAAGTACAAAGACATGGTTCAAATTTGGGGTTCTGGAGTCAGAACGCCTGGGAAGGAAGTCCTACTTGTTACTTTGGGGATGATGCTTTGCCTCTCACTGTCTTAACTTTCTTACCCAGGAATAGGGACACCAACCTCAAAGAGCTGACGGGGGAGAAGAAAGAAAGGACAAGTAAAGGTCCCAACAGTAGGAAGTGACCAAAAATATTAAATGTTAGCCTTGTTCCATAGCATTCTTCCCGGGCCCAGGGCAAACAACAGCAGCAGTTTAAAAGTATCCCCATGAGTTTCGCCACACTGAGAAGCCTGTGTGGGCAGGTGCGGTTTGCCCGAGAGAAACAGGGCAATGGGGTTGGAGGTGTTAGCTCATCTGAGCAGCAGATGAGCTGGTCTTACCACCATCAGGCCAGCTGATTCCTCTTCTAGATCAGGGTTTTTTTTGTTTGTTTGTTTGGAGAACAAGTTTTTGTTTTGTTTTGTCTTTTGCCATATTTTTCTCACTGTTGCGCACAGACTAAATATTTCTGTTTCCTTTCTTCCAAACTTACTCTGATTTCACATCATGCCATCTGGATTCTGGGTCACTTACCAGCTGGATGCTGTCCCGAGTCACTGACATTGAAAAATATATATCTACACATTGCCCGTTTTAAACCTTGCAGTTCAGAACCCACTTTATCATTGTGCCAGTGCCTAACTTGTGCATGCTCTAAATTGATTCCAGTCTCTTTAGTATTTCAGATTTGCTCATCACACGACAGTTCACCCACTACTCTGTGTGGCCGCAGAATACCATTTAGCTGGGACTTGGTAGCCTGTCTAAAATAGCCATTTTTCTATTGCATAGACCTCACCTTGTGGCTTATTGGGTTATTATACATTCCTGGATAGACTACTGGACATAAGGAGCAACCTTTCTTCATTTTATTGATTTTTCCCCCAAATTCCAGAAGGAGTAGGAATGACTATTCCTGTTTGCCACATGTTTTGTGGGTTTTCTTCCCCCTTTGGAAACAAGAGTATTGCAACTTTGAGTGTTTCTGCTACTAGATTTCAGACCTGGGGGTCGGGTCAGAATTGCCGGGTGGGGAGTTATTAGAAACCCCACCTTAAGTTAGTTTTCTCTGTGGAAGTCACATGTCTGTCCTTTAAAACCGACACAGAAGAATGGCTGCATCTTCATACCTAGGGAGCACCGTACATTGTAGTGGAGAGCTTCTGCATTTTCTTTTTTTGTGAGTGTTTGATGTGCCCAATGAGAAGAGATGAGACCCCTTGAGAAATAACAGCAAGGCCCCAGAGTTAAATCTCTCAGACAGTTTCCTGGCGGGCAGTAAACTCACTCCAGGGAGGCAGGAGAGAGTTGGATGAACCCGGGGTACAGGCTGGTCTTCAGCTCAGGGGAGGTGCTTCCGGCAAGCACACTGGGAGGTCACCCAGCCCCAGGCCCATCACCACTCTTTGTGGAAGGGATGGTAGAGGGAATAATTTGGGCTACCTCATTAGCCCGTCTGAAGAGCTCTCTCTACCACAGTGAGAAGAGTGTGCTCTCTGCTGCTTTCTGGCTCCCGTGGGAACAGGTCGCAGACTCACTTCCTCACACAACTGTCCCAGCAGCCGGCCCGGTGACTGGCACAGAGCTCAACACATGTTTGGTGATTGACTGACTAACAGGGGTGGACGGCCTCATCGGACGATAAGGACAGGGAGACGTGGAGCAAGGTCACAGGCTAGTTGGGGAGTCAGGCTGAAAGGTGCGGGTGGCAGCAGCCCCAGTAGCACCAGGCGGCACCAGAAAGGCTGTCCGTGGCTGAGAGAGACTGGCAGCCACAGAGGGTCCCGAAATCAAGAATCCACTGGCCATCTCAGCTTGTTTGCTCTGCTGCTGTTTAAGAAGGTCTCTGGGCTCAAAGGAGTAGTATCTGCCTTACCAGTTTTTGCTGTTGTTTCATGACTGGTACGGCCCCGGGGAAGTGCAAGTTACAATTCACCTTGTATTTCCGCCATGTCATGTGGTAAAATATCGTTTCTGGTAACACCTGTATCCAGTGCATCTTATGTTTTTTTTTTTAAGATTTTATTTATTTATTTGAGAGAGAGAGAGCACATGAGAGAGGGGGAGGGTCAGAGGGAGAAGCAGACTCCCCGCTCAGCAGGGAGCCCGATGTGGGACTCGATCCCGGGACTCCAGGATCATGACCTGAGCCGAAGGCAGTCGCTTAACCAAAGGAGCCCCCCAGGCGCCCCATTGCATCTTATGTTTTATCTCTTTCTCCAAGCCGAACTGAAGTGCCCATTACTCTATACTTAGTAACTATAAGGAGTAGATTTGCTACTTGTTACATTTCTGTGTATTGATGACCGATAAAATCAGTTCTTATTTGTACGTAAAATAGGAACTCAGGGAGGAAAGATAACTGAAATCTGTATGGCTTATAGAAATTGTATAAATTGAGGTATAAATCTATTGATCAAGCAATATTGCCATTTGTAGAAAATCAGAAAGGAAGTGGCTTTTGTAAGAGTCACAGAAAGAATTTAAAGGAAGAGGTTTTTTTCACAAGAGTTGATTAAAAGTGGGGCGCCTGGGTGGCTCGGTCGGTTAAGTGGCTGCCTTCGGCTCAGGTCATGATCCCAGGGTCCTGGGATCGAGTCCCGCATCGGGCTCCCTGCTCCACGGGAGCCTGCTTCTCCCTCTGCCTCTCTCTGTCTCTCTCTGTCTCTCATGAATAAATAAATAAAATCTTAAAAAAAAAGAGTTGACTAAAAGTAAACAGTATGTATCCCTCAACAAATATTTATTTGTTTATTTACTTATAAATTGAGGTATAATTGACATAAACATGATACTGGTTTCAGATGTACAACATAATGACTGGCTATCTGTACATACTGCAAAATGACCACTGCAGGAAGTCTCATTAGCATCTGTCAGCACACAGAGTTACAGAATTTTTTTCCTTGTGATAAGAACTTTTAAGGTTTACTCTTTTAACAGCTTTCAAAATAGGCAGTACATTATTATTAATTATAGTCACCATGCTATACATCACATCCCCATGACTTACTTATTTTATAACTGGAAGTTTGTACCTTTTGACCGCCCCTCCCTCGGCCCCCCGACCCTTAGCTCTTACACACGACAATCACTGTTACAGTCTCTGTATCCGTGGGCTTGGTTTTTGGTTTGTTTTAGATTCCACATGTGAATGAGATCATACAGAATTTGTCTTTCTCTAACTTACTTCATTTAGCATAATGTCCTCAAGGTCCAGCCGTGTTGTCCCAAATGGCAGAATTAAATTCTTTTTACGGCTGAGTAATATTCCACTGTGTACATATACTGCATCATATTTATCAACCCGTCACTGATGGAACGAATATTTATTACACATCAACTGTATACTGAGCACGGTGTGGTTCCTGG